TTGATTGGCCACATTTTCCATGGAAAATGGAAAAATCCACCAAAATGACTTTTTTGATTGCAACATTTTCTAGGGAATTTCATTTCCACATTTTTCCCCACAAATACATTTTCCATGAATTGGTGGAAAACCAATTCTTCCATCTTTATTTTTTTAATTTCAGTAATTGGAACAATTTTTATCTACAATTGTAAAAAATTATATCCCATTAATTAAAAATTTCATGAAAAATAAAGCCAAACGAATACCAGATGATTCAAAATTTCAACATTTTTCAGGTGAGAAATTATGTCAATCAAACACATTTAATTGGCAATTCCCAGGAAAAACAAGTTTTAGGCAATTCAATTTCCTGAAATTCTTTTTCTTTCCACCCAAATTTCATTTTTACAATCAAATGAACTCTAAGTGTTTAAAAATGGTATTGTACATCAAGTTAAACTTTTATTGACATTAATTGTGTTTTTTTTCCATTATTTAATTAAACTTAATTAGCTTTTCTGAATCTAATTATTAACATTTGTCTTACATTTTTCAAAAATAATATGTAGCTTTCCCGTTGCTTAATTTAGGTGAAAATTAGGCTCATGTTTGAAAACCATTATTTCATAAATCTTTTTTCCATATACTCATTTTTAATCATACATTTACATAATAAAATATTTTGCACATGAATCCAAAAATTTTTAAAACTTTTTAACCACACATTCTTAAAAAAAAAAAAAAAATCACTATTCAAAACCATATTTTTACCAAATAATGGTTGTCAATTAGGCAATAGGGTGGCTGATCTAGCTAGCTTGCTACATTTTAGCCATCTCGGCCATGGTCCCACCTATATACTGGCTAAATGTGTAGAACCCCAAATAATTCTAGACACCTTAGTGACACTAAGATATGAATATTGGATGACTAAAGTATACTTCAGATTTTTAGTCTCATTTGAGACCCATTTTCGACATAGGAAACATTCGATTTAAAAAATGATATCTAAATAAAAGTTGTAACTCTTTGAGTTAGCTTTCCAACGCACTTTGAATTACCTCAATCGGATATCGGGAGAAGAAATTATGATAGAAACACTGAAAGCTGTGTAGTGTCAACCGGACTACAACCGATCGATCGAAACTGCGTGAAATGAAAATTCTCATTTTTCTTTAGAATTTAAATATTTATTTTCATCAATTATTTTCTCAAAGGGCCACCCATGTTTTTGGCAATTAAAACCCCACTAAATTGAAGCATTTAACCTCAAACTTAAATGACACCCATGTTTTCTCTCTTAAATAAAATTTGACCCTTCATTTGCTTTAAATTATGGGATATTTACCTATAAATAGAGACATCATTTCACTCATTTTTTCTCACACCAAAAGTAAGAGCTTTTACATACTAAAGAAAGAGTTTTCAAGAGAGAAAAAGAGAGGGAGGAAAACTATTTTTCCTAAAAGTTTAAGAAGTGTTTTCAAGTATCAATTCTCAACGGTTTTCAAACTTCTAAAGAGTGCATTTTTTTCAACGTCCAAGTTTCATCGAAATTTTCAATCCAAGTTTTCAAAGTTTCAAAAGCATCAATCAAGGTAGGTAGAGGTGCAATGTGTTTAATCGTGTTAAATTATAAATTTTGATTCATGTTAATGTTTGTATGTCAAATGGTACTCTGGTACGACATATCCCTCTATGTTAATAGTTGTATGTCAAATGGTGCCCTCGGGTACGGCATACCCCTTCATGTCAAATGGTGCCTCCGAGTATGGCATGTATGAAAAGTTATAAAGTTAATGTTTTGAAATGTATAGCTTGATCACGAATGCACCTATGACACCTATTGAATTTCTCAACTCATGGGTTTAATCCCATCTTTACAGATTGAAGGAATTCTACCTCGGGCATGGATGAAGGAGAAGATGGAGAGTGATGCAACGAGCCCATGGAAATCCGGTAAATAAGTGATTTGGATTTATTTTTATGAAATGTTTTCCAATGCTATTTTTTTAAAGTTTTGAATAACGCAAAATGCGAGAACGAGTTATGTTTTCTTCAAATAAATTACATTTTGTTGTTTTGAAAAATGATTCAGTGTTTTTTTTTAAGTATTTAAAGTATTGTTATTTAAATTATTATCCGAAAATGTAAGTTTTCGCTAAAACGTATACACTTATTACTAAACCACCCGTTAAGTTAAATAAAGTAAGTAGCGTTCCGATCCACTAGGGGTCGAGGCGTTACAAAATGTATTTTGATTTTTGAATATATTCGTGTTGAGTATCGGTCATGCCACAATGTCGTGCAAACCAATTTTTCAGTCAAATTAATTTAAGTGTCATGTTAATTTTATTAATAATGAATAAAAATACAACCTTAGGAAGGGATTTGAACTAAATAAAATATTGTTAATAAGTTTTGGAATGATATAGAATAAAACATATTTTTAGTAAATCTTAATAACAATTTATGACACGCGTGATTGAAAATTGTGAACTCATAGAATGAGTGATTAAAATTAATTAGTAAATTAATATTGTCTCACATATTTTAAAGTTACTTCCAATGCACGTGCTATAGTGTAAATTGATTATTAAGCCTATGTTTGACCCTAATTTTTTCAAAATCTCATTTTTTTTTCATTACTCATTTCAGTCATACATTCTCTCATAAAATAATTTTACACATAAATTAAATTTTAATTTTAATTTTTAGCTACACGTTTTTCAATACAATATTACTCCAAAATACATTTTATCCCCAAAATGGAGCTCAAAAGGCTAAATACGTATTAAGTTATCCAACTTCGAGTGTACATGGCAATTAATAACTCAGCATTTTGTTTGATTTTGTTCACTAGTTCTTATGTTGGGTAATTTTTATGGGGTTTTTCATATTTGTTAGGGCATCTCTAATGGAGATCCCAAAATACCATTTTGCCTCCAATGTAGCACTATTTTGATAATTTTGGTGCAGTATTATTCACTTTACACCATTTTACACCAAATGGTGCGAAGTCAATTTTGTCATTCTCTTTCATTTTTCAAACATATTGGTCAAGGGTATTCTCGTATCATTTTTGTTATATATTTTTTAATACAATAAATTATTAGTATTATTTGATGTACATTTTTAATAAATTTAATAATATAATCAATAATAATAAAGGATTATTTTGTTAATTTGACTCATTATTTATAATAAAAGTCTGTTTGGGAGTGATTTTGAGAATTAATTTTTTGACTGTTAGGAGAAAAGTGGGATCCATCTGTGAGAGAAGAAATCAAATATGACGGCTGTAATAGTGAAATAACAGTCAAAAAATCAATTTTTTGGATGAAAAAATCGCTCCAAAACAGGCCATAAATTAATAATATAAGCAATTATTTTCGCAAAATTTAACGAAATATATCAAACAAGTGAATATTTTCGTTATCAATAATATTTCAATATTTTCGTAATTATTTATTTAGTAATTTATCTAATTGTAAAATAAATAAATAAATTATTTTTTGAAATAAAAAAATTGTTAAGAATTGAAAAAAATGAAAAAAATAATTAAATACTGTTCATTTATGTAAGTTTTTGTGTAATGGATTAGAAATGAATTTTTAATTTGATACAAAATTTAGTGTAAAACTTACCTCAAATTTTGATATAGCATTGAAAATAGTCTTACTAACTACAACAAATGTTGTTATCAGGACACGCATCTATTGGCAGTTATTAGTTAGTAATATTGCAGACGCAACAGTTCATAAAGTTAGGTTGTGTTTGAGTCCACTTTATGCATAATAAGTTTTTTAATAAGGAATTTTTGGAGAGTTTGTGGTTAAAAAAAAAAAAAGTTTTGAATTTGTATGTAAAATTACTTTATTAAGAGAATGTGTAATTAAAAATGAGTATATATTTGGTGGCCTTTAAATTAAAAAAACTATACTTTGAATAATATTTTTTTAGAGAATTTGAAGTTAAAAGTAGGGAAAATTTTGAGTTTATATGTAGAATATTTTATTGCATGAATATATTGTTGAAAATGAGTATAAAATATAAATTAAAGGTCAGCAAACGGGGATGAGTTTGGGGAAAAAAAGTAAGTTTTTATAGAACGTGGCTCAAACATGATTTATTGACACAAATTTTGTCTATGAATAAAGTCATAAATATTAAATATTTAGAGAAATTTCATCAATAATATAATAAAAATAAAATTATTCATTCTAATTTTATCCATTATTTGGGAAAATCAATATTTTGAATAGTAATTCTTAACTGAATATGCGGTTAAAAATTTATGAAAATGTTTTAGATTTATGTGCAAGATATTTTATTGTGTAAATGTATTATTAAAAATGAATATATATATATATAAAAGTTTTCAAATAATAATTATCAAATCCTCAATTGTTACCCTCTCTATTAGGGAAGACAACAGGGAGTGTATGGGATGGATCATCCACTCCCATCTCGTCGGATATTTTTGTCACATTATCTCACTGCCACACCTTGTTAAAATGGGTTAGGGCAGGATAGGTCTCCCGTCCCGTTTTATTTTCCATTTTTATTTATTTTATTACTTGCCCCGTTTTATTTTTTTATTTTTTTATACCTTTAGTTAATGAATATTATTACTTTCTTTTACCAATTTGTTTAGAAAAAGTCATGTTTTATTATAAAAATGATAATAAACCTTTTATTTTTATTTGATAAAAAATATAAATTTAAAATTAATTTTAAATGGGCGCCCGTAACAAGGCGATGATTATATTTTTGTACCCACCTCGTACCAGCTTTGGGGCAATAACTTCCGTCTCATTCCTGTCCCATTTATCCGATTAGACGAGTAATCCTTGTCCGATTCAGAGCGAGACCTCTCGGACATGGAATTGAGTGGATTTTTTATTTTTATTTTTGCCATCCCTAATCTGTATGGCACCATTAGCTAAAGTTTTCAAATTATATATCATTTTTTTCCAGAGAAAAAAGAAAAGAAAAAGTCCAATGGCAATTTTGGTATTCACATTTTGGAGTACAATCCCCTCGAGGTGTACAAACCCTACGACACCGTGAACTTGGCTAGTACTCGTCTTTGGAGCAAAGAAATTGCTATTGGACCTTTTCAATTAGTTACCAGAAAGTACAATATTATTTTTCCTCAATAATTTCTGGTCACGTTTCGCTGAGACAGCAATCACCAGTTTATGCCCAATTTTTCATATATTTGATATTTCATAGAAAAGCGTAAGGAAAAAGAAAAAGGGAACTGAAATGCCACTGGCAAGATTACTCTTATCATCTTTCAAAAATGGGTCTGAAGAGTCTCTGCATATTGTTAAACGGTATTTTTTTCATTCTTTTACAATTTTATTTACGTAGATGGAATTTTTTTAAGTTTTTATTTTTCTTCTTCAATGGTGATATACGCGCAATAATTAGTTCAGAAGGATTTAATCGTCGTGGCTCGTAGAAGTTAAATTCAGAATTAACGTTATATACGAAATGTTATTTGTATGCTAAAGTCGCTCTGCAGTGTAGAAGTAATAGATAATGCCTATTGGAGCTGTGCATTGATGAGAGTTGACTGTAAATTATGCGATTGAGATTAAAGTTAGGAATTGCGTTTACCTTGTTAATGGAAAACAAGAAAGAGTTCAATATCTTTTAAGATAGCTTGCTATAATTGAAATATGGTTGAAGCCAAGGATGGGAGTGTGGTGGGTGTCTTCCTAAAGCAGAAGCTCATCGTGGCTTCAGAGGAAGTGTATGCTTACTGTTGATTTGCCTTCAAGGACCTATCCATCTTGATTTCAAGCTAGACTGTTGTATGCTCGAAAGGAAGAGAGCTGTATTATCCTAGCCTTGTATGAAGTGCTTGGAGTTTAAATTTTGGGCTCTGCTTGCTGTACACTCTTGTGTACAGCAAGTTGTACACCCCCCTAACATGAGGGGGGGCCCACGATTAACATGGCCCCCCCTCATGTGAGAGGGGTGTAAGCTTAAGTTGCTGTACAAGCAGATTTTTACCCTTAAATTTTTGTTGGACTTAAATGACACGTAGGCAGATTCTGTTTCTGACATTTGAAAGAAGAAGAGATGAAACAAAGATGGTTATTTACTTGAATATCTTTATGGCTTATCCCTGGACAATTAATGAGGCTTTGTTTTCTATTTGAGACCAGAGCTGGTGTTTTTCTTCGGCCTTTGCAATAACAAATACTAAACTCTTCAGCAGGGATCCAGAGATTCTGAATTTTGGTTAAACAATGTGTTTCGATGTAATTTTTCGTGGATGTGTTGTTTCAAAAAATCTCTTTGAATGATGATATGTTTAATGTAAAACTACTTGTGCCATAGAGATGGACAGCAGTGGAACAAATTGGTTTTTAAGCCAGCGTAATTTTTGGTGGTATCGGAGAAAAGTCAAATGTCAATTATGTGGTTTATTAGGGCCCCCTTTGTTTCCCATTTTTTTTAAAAATGAGAATGAAAAATATAGCTGTCATGGGCCCCACACAAGAGATAGAAATTCAAATTTGGTGACTTGATATGATGGATAACGATCACATTTTTTTTTTATTTTAATGGAGGAAAGAATGGGAACCAAACAGGGGGCTAGATATTATTTTGGTTCGGATCTTGATGTGCTGCTTGACATATCTGGTAAACATCTTTATTTGGTATGCAAATTAGAAGTGCATAGGGAATTTCTATTCAGTCTGTTCTCTATAATAGTGATGGGACTGATAAGCCTCCAATTCAGTATACATATTCTAGAAGGAACAAGAGGAGAGGCAGTAACTAATTCTGTTAGGTGGGGGTGTGAGGTGGCCAAAAATCTGTTACAAGGGCCTATAAATAGAATAAGATGGACTTGAGAGTCGTTTTATTAGGAAAGTGATGATAATGTACAGAGTAAAGCATGAGAACCTTGTTCAGGTGAGAGAGATGGACAAAATTGCAATTTATTAGTGAACCATGGTTCAAGTCAATATCGAATTAGGTGCTCCAAATTTGTCTATTTGTTAGTTTCCAATGTTAATTCCAATTCCAGAAATCAATTCAGCATTTCCTTTCATTTCCTGTGTTACTTCTCTTGTTTTCCCTGGCACTTGGTAATTTCTTTTTACAGATTGGAATCTATCAAATTGGTATCAGAGCACCCTTCACCATAGGCATGACACTTGCAGATCGAGTTGGGGAACTAGAACAGAAAGTAGAAGTCCATCATCAAGAGCTGCAGGCAGGTCTTGAGTCCATGAGGTCTGAGTTCAAAGTAATGCATGCAGGGATGCTGGAGAAATTTGAATTATTAATGAAAACATGGGATAATCAGGAAAGGGGACGGAAGGAGAAAGGGATGGCCTCCGAAAAATCACCAACAGAAACTGCAGGTTCGGGAATATCTCAACTCCGGCAAGACCCTACTCAAGGTACTGGCGGAGGAACAGGAGGTGACTGGAGGGGGGAACCGCGAGTGCGACGATTGGAGATGCCTGTGTTTGACGGGGATGATCCGGATGGATGGGTTTTTCGGGTGGAAAGATACTTCACCCTCAACCGGTTGACTGAAGAAGAGAAAGTCGAGGCAGCTGTGGTATGCTTCGACGGCGAAGCCCTAGCCTGGTTCAAATGGGAGGAGAAGCGTCGAGCTATGAATAGCTGGGAGGAGGTGAAGATCCGGCTATTGCGTCGATTCCGCCCTTCGCAAGAGGGGTCCCTATGTGCTCAGTTTTTATCCCTAAGGCAACGCTCCACCGTTCGTGACTGCTGCCGGCAATTTGAGACGTTAGCTTCCCCGTTAGTGGAAATATCAGAGGAAGTGTTGACATGCAGCTTCCTTAATGGGTTAAACCCAGATATCCGGGCTGAGGTTCTGTTATTAAGACCCTTGGGCCTGGAGCAGATAATGGAAGTGGCCCAAATGGTGGAGGACCGAAACATGGTAGCTAAACAAACCCACTGGAATGCTGGACCTATTAAACCAAAGAGTATCCCCTTCCATAACCCAAATCCACCACAATCATCTTTCAAGAGCCCGACCCACACCCATCACTCCCAAACACGCCCTACGGTTCCTCTGAACCTCCCCTCAAATCGCCCAAATTCTTTCCCCAAATCATCCATACCCTACAAACGGCTGACCGATGCTGAAATACAGGCCAAGAGGGAGAAAGGCCTCTGTTACCGTTGTGATGACCGATTTACCATTGGCCATAGGTGCAAGAATAAGGAGCTACAGGTGTTGGTGATTCGGGAAATGGAACTCAACGACGAGGAACCTGACACCGCCATGGCCAGCGAAGGTGAGCCCAACGCCGGCGAGTCGGTTTATGCTGCAGAAGTGACCCCCGGTTCGGGACAGCCGATAGAGTTGTCGATCAACTCAGTCGTGGGGCTGACCACCCCAGGTACTATGAAGCTAAAAGGGATGCTCGGCCAAAAGCAAGTGATAGTTTTGGTTGACAGTGGTGCTTCCCACAATTTTATTTCAGCAGACCTTGTCCAACAAATGGGACTTCCATTGACAGGCACCGCAAGCTATGGGGTGGTCATGGGGACGGGCTTAACAGTAAAAGGGGATGGTATATGCCGACAAGTACATCTGAAATTGCCGGGGCTGTTGATAGAAGAGGACTTCTTACCTCTTGAGCTGGGCAGCTCGGATATCATTCTGGGAATGCAATGGTTGAGGACACTAGGCAAAATGCAGGTGGACTGGGATACTCTAACCATGTCCTTTGACGTCGGGGGGATCAAGGTAACCCTGCAGGGGGATCCCAGCCTGAGTAAGATGCCCGTTTCATTGAAATCGATGTGGAAAGCTTTTAAGGAACAGGGGGAAGGGCTTCTACTGGAATTGGGAAGCATCACCGTCAGTCACCGGTCCGCCCTGCCCAGCCCCCCGAGGTTTTTTGCAGAGATTCTGGCAGAGTTCACAGCAGTATTCGAGGAATTTACTCAACTGCCTCCTAAGAGACTCCAGGATCATGCAATTAATTTGAAACCAGGGGCGGGACCAGTAAGTGTAAGACCGTATCGCTATCCCCACTTCCAGAAAAACGAAATAGAGCAGCTAGTTAAGGAGATGTTAGCAGCTGGAATCATCCAACATAGCACTAGTCCTTTTTCAAGTCCTGTGCTGTTAGTACGGAAGAAAGATGGGAGTTGGAGATTTTGTGTGGATTATAGAGCATTGAACAAAGCCACCGTCCCAGACAAGTTCCCAATCCCAGTCATCGATGAATTGCTTGACGAATTGAATGGAGCTACGGTGTTCTCAAAAATCGATCTCAAATCTGGTTATCATCAGATACGGGTGAAGGCCGAGGATGTCCCAAAAACAGCCTTCCGAACTCATGAAGGCCATTATGAGTTTCTAGTCATGCCCTTCGGCTTGACCAACGCACCAGCCACCTTTCAATCATTGATGAACTCAATTTTCAGAGAACAGCTCCGAAAGTATGCGCTAGTATTTTTTGACGACATTCTTGTTTACAGTCGTACAAAGGAGGAACACCGAGATCATTTACGAAAGGTCCTGCAGACTCTAGTAGAGCACCAGCTCTTTGCTAACAAAAAGAAATGCCTATTTGGGCAAGAGAAGATAGAGTATCTTGGCCACATTATATCAGCAAAGGGGGTGGCAGCAGATGAATCCAAGTTGTCAGCAATGAGGAATTGGCCACGTCCCCAGACACTTAAAGAATTAAGGGGATTCTTGGGGTTGACCGGATATTATCGACGGTTTGTGGAGTCCTATGGGAAGATAGCCTGGCCGCTAACTCAACTACTAAAGAAGGACTGTTTCAGGTGGAATGACGCTGCAGAATCGGCCTTCGCAAAACTGAAGGAGGCAATGACAACTGTACCAGTCTTGGCTCTTCCAGATTTCTCGCAGCCCTTTATACTTGAGACTGATGCTTCTGGACATGGGATAGGGGCTGTCTTGATGCAAAATCAGAGACCAATTGCCTATTTCAGTCAGGTGCTGCCCCAAAGGAGTCAGAATAAATCGATATATGAGAGGGAGCTCATGTCTATCGTACTGGCAGTGCAAAAGTGGAGGCATTATTTGCTGGGAAGGCGTTTTGTGGTTAGAACAGACCAAAAAAGTCTTAAATTCCTACTCGAACAGCACTTAGTAAATGTGGAATATCAGAAGTGGTTATCTAAATTGTTGGGTTTCGATTTGGATATTCAATACAAGCCAGGATTGGAAAACAAAGCCGCAGATGCCTTATCCAGGAGGGGAACAGCAGCCACACTGATGGCCCTTAGTATACCAAACACAATACAGTTAGAGGAGGTGATAAAAGCGGAGGAAGAAGATCCTGAACTAAGCCGAATCATATCAGCCATAAGGGTGGACCCTTCTTCCTGTCCTGGATTTGCTATAGTAAGAGGGGCTTTGCTGTATAAGGACAGGATCACCCTACCTAAAGGTTCTCCCATTATTTCGTTAGCATTACAAGAAGGCCATGATAGTAAAATGGGTGGCCATGGGGGATTCCTTAAGACTTACAAGAGGATAGTCGGGACTTTTTATTGGAAAGGTATGAAGAAGGATATTAGAAACTATGTGGCTGCTTGCGAAGTTTGTCAACAGCACAAGTACTCCACGTTAGCACCTGCAAGACTGCTACAACCTCTACCTATACCACAGAAGGTATGGGAGGACATCTCCATGGATTTCATAGAAGGGTTACCAAAGTCAGAGGGGATCGATTCAATACTGGTAGTGGTCGACCGCCTAAGCAAATACGGCCACTTCATTGGCTTAAAACATCCTTTCACAGCTCCGACCGTGGCTGCCATGTTCATCAAAGAGGTGGTTCGCTTGCATGGGACACCAAACTCAATCATAACTGACAGGGATAAGGTATTTATGAGCAAATTTTAGAGTGAGTTACTCCGTTTACATGGGACTAAATTGAAGTTTAGTTCAGCCTATCATCCCCAAACTGATGGCCAAACAGAGGTGGTGAATAGAGGGATAGAGACATACCTACGGTGTTTTACTTCAGCTCGGCCGAAAGAGTGGTTCCGTTTCCTGCCATGGGCTGAGCTATCTTACAACACATCATTTCATGTGTCTGCACAACTCACCCCATTCCACATAGTTTATGGACGAGAGCCTCCGCCTCTAATACGGTTTGAAAAGGGGTCGACACCTGTATCATCATTGGATCAGCAATTGGCAGAAAGGGATAGACTTTTGGATGAGCTAAAGCTGCATTTGAGCCAGGCACAGCAACAGATGAAAAGTTCAGCTGATAGACATAGGAGGGAGGTGGAGTTCTCAACTGGTGATAAGGTCTACTTGAAAATGCGACCCTATCGCCGCAAATCATTGGCACAACGCAGCAACGAGAAACTTGCACCACGGTACTATGGGCCGTTTGAGATTTTAGCTAAAGTGGGGAAAGTTGCTTACAGGTTGGAGCTGCCACCTGGTATCCGTGTTCATCCTGTATTTCATGTTTCGCAGTTGCGAAGGGCGGTAGGAGAACATCATCTGCCTTCTATGTTGCTTGATAATTTGGGAGTGGACTGAGAGTTAATGGTTGAACCAGAAACTGTGTTGGGAGTCAGGACTGCTTCGTTGGGGACAGCAGACTGCTTGGAAGTGTTAATTCAGTGGAAGGGCCTATCTCCATTGGAAGCTACTTGGGAGCCATTCAGCCTCATTGATCAACAATTTCCGGCCTTTCACCTTGTGGACAAGGTGACTGAATTGGGCGGGGTAGTTGATAAGCCTCCAATTCAGTATACACATTCTAGAAGGAACAAGAGGAGAGACAGTAACTAATTCTGTTAGGTGGGGGTGTGAGGTGGCCAAAAATCTGTTACAAGGGCCTATAAATAGAATAAGATGGATAGATGAAGAAAGGAAGAAATTCAGTGAGTGGGTCAGTTAGGGAGAGTCTCAGTCCTCTCAATCGGTCATTTGTTCTTTTCCTTTACATTTCCTTGTAATTCCAATTCCAGAAATCAATTCAGCATTTCCTTTCATTTCCTGTGTTACTTCTCTTGTTTTCCCTGGCACTTGGTAATTTCTTTTTACAGATTGGAATCTATCAGGGACATTTGACAAACCAGTGTTTCTTTGATATGGAATTGAATTTAGAATGTAATATAAGAAAAGTCAGTATGCCAAGGAAAAATGGAAATGAATTCACTCTAAGCGAGATTACATAATTGACTTAAATCATTTTGAATACTATAAGAACTGTTGATGATGATGTAATTGCTGATCATATGATAAGTCCCAATGCAAGTGGCTGGAGAAGTTCTTGGTATTGCTATTCTCTCTCTTTTTCCCAAACCAAAAACTGTATTATTTTTCTTACGATTAAAGTCCAAATGAATTGTTTACTATGTTTCTCATGTAGGTTTGGTGCATCTAGGAGATATATGCATGCTACACTAGGTCAGTGCAAAGCAGTAAACCTCTGCCTTCATTCCTTGAAATTAATTTGACTAATCATTTTAAGTATAGGGAAAGACTCTGATGAACTGAAACCATATTTGGTCCATATTCAATACATGGTTATATATAAATTCCTAGTGAATTTTGTACTGTTTCACATCCCTTATGTTAGCAATGAGATATATGACTTTTCTGTAACATCAAATTCAGTTTGACACGTCACATAAAATAAGCATGCAAGGAAGATGCAAACAAATTCATTCTTAAGTGAACTTACACATTGAATTGTTTTGAGTAGCGTATAAGCAATGTTGTAATTGCTATAATTTGGTAATTGAGTTATTCTTTTAACAAATGAGCATTTATTATTTATCATTAATTTTTTGAAGAATCTGTGTTCTTTCTGATTTTTTCTCTTCCCTGACCTAATTATATCTTGAATAAACATTTAGATGTATCTTCAATTGTTTTGTGTTTGTAGATTTGGTGAATCTAAGAGATTTTACTCTTCCAGTGCAAGGTCAACAAGAAGCATTACACCTCCCCCTCCATTACCTGAAAAGTCTACGTCCCCCACCCCTTGGAAATATTTCTTAATTGTATGATACCATAACTCCAACTCCATCTTCCCTGGAGATGCTCCAATATTTCTGTTCTTTTTCTATATAATTCATGTTTGTCCTTTATACTTTCACCTTACCTTTTAAAACTTTACATATCAGTTTTATTCTTGCAGCCTGGTTCCATCCTAGCTGGAATTGGTGGTTTGGCTTTTTTCATGCACTATAATGATGAAAAGAGAGCAATTCCAAAAGGTGATTTTGACATTTATAGTTACTGATTTCGATTTATTTGGCTTTGACTGAAAAAGGTTTTTTAAGTGCCATCTACTGGATGACAAAAAGTTCATGGTTGAAAACAAGCACATATTAGTAATTTATATACTAAGTGTCTATTTGGAAAGGAACAAGTAGTTGATAGTTCACGCCAAAGTAACTTGTAAGATAGGGGCACTCTTCTGTAATGGCTTGTGACCCTAGTCTGAGTTTACTGAATGATGAAGCATTGAAGAAAAGGTTGAAATCATTTTTACTAGAATTGGGCTACAATTGCATTCAGCTTCAATGGGATTTTAATTGGTTATTGATGTATCAGTTGATGATTAGCTTCAGAATCTGGATTATCTATTGCGTAAAGTCTACTTTTGGTGGAACATATACACTAACGAGTGACTTTTGAGATAGGGGCTTTGACATGATGTTGTTTCTCAATTTACATACTATAATAGCATGCTTGGTAGGGATGACTGGATTAAACTCAAGTACTGAAAAATAAAGAGAAGCAAAAAACTTGTTTATTATACTCTTTCAGTTCTTTCTAATACTGCACATGAAACAAGCTCAGACTGTTTGTAATTGGAGCATTGTTATTTCATTTGAAACAATCCATCTTCTTTGTTCTTTCTCTTTCTTCTGACTAGTTGGCATTATCTTTAGTATCATTCCAAGCATTTTTCTTATTTACTGTTGGCTGCTGTTAAATATGCTGTAGTTGGCTATAATAAATTTACCTTCAATGTTGTGTTCTCACTGGAAAAATTCTTGCCGGTTGCAATTTCATATCTTTGCTTAGAAATTGGATTGGGAATGGGGATTTCTAATATGTGCTTCAGACTGAAGATGGCAGAAACATTGTGAAATTGTACTGTAACCTTTGTTCTCTCGGCTTATTTCAGTGTGTTGCTGTAGGTCTATGGCAGAATTCATTTCCTATTTCTGTGAAGAGGATATCATTGCTCGTTCAATTGTGAGAGCTAACAGGTTATTGAAATTGTAGGTCCCTGTCTATGGGGGATTAATACTGGACTTTGTCGGTTGCTTCTGTCATATTTTTAGTTGTAATTCTTAGAAGTTACCCATTTTCTACTTCAAGTGCTATTACATGAATTAACACAATTCTGCTTCTCCCATTGCATTTTCATGAGAAAGACGATTAAACTAAGGGATATATGTTGGTTAATAAAATGAAATTTACATTGTTTATAGACTAATTATATTTATTTATGTTTTTTTCCAACTTGGACTAGGCCAGGGTGTAAAGTTTGAAAGAAGTGCCATTCAAGGGCCGATAATTGGTGGCCCTTTCAGCCTAATTAATACAGAAGGCCAGTTAGTCACTGAGCACAACCTTCTGGGGAACTGGGTTCTACTCTACTTTGGTTATACTTCATCTCCGGATGTTGGGCCAGCAGAGGTTCAAAAGATGGTCAAGTCTGTTGATATATTAGGTTCTTACTCATCGATTTTTCTCTAAAATTAAATTGAACTGTTTTTGAGTTTTATGATTGATTTTTATTTTTTTTTATTTTGATTTGAACAAGAGTCAAAACAGAATCTCAAGATTTTGCCCATATTTGTCACAATTGATCCTCAGAGAGATACACCTGCACAGCTTCGCGCTTACCTCAGAGGTGAGTTCGTTATTCACATGATTTTCTTATACCCTTCTACAAAACTGAATAGAGTATTTCACATGAAAGCCAGACACCCCATATTTGTAGAAAAATGGTAGCATATATAAGTTGTCTTTGATTGTTTTTTATGTATGCTTTTACTAAAAATGGATAATTGTTATCGAAACACATAATGACATAATTTTGTAAAAACTTCTTTTGCTAGCAAGTTCTAAGGGAGATGACCATACAGTCATCATTTTACAGCACGATATGATTTCATCAATTATTCTGACTTCTTAAATATGATTAAATTTTCGGGTGACGAGTCAGTTGTGTGTTTCTGATAAGAACCTGTTGCTGCTGCTTGATAAGAACCTATTGCTGTTAATAATCTGCTGGACCTGCTGACCAGAATTTAGATAGTAGACTTCACAGGAAAATGGATGATTATGAAAGGTAGAAGGCAGATTATTGTAGACACAATATTTGAGCTTGAAAGTATTGAAACAGAATTTTGTATTGATAGAACAGAAATTAATGACAAGTTGCAGGCTATTCGAGAGGCATGATCTCTCCACTCTTTTCTAAACAAATTCTCTGAATGCCAATCTAATTCCCCTCCCCATTTTATTTGTAGAGTTCCCCTCTAACCGACTAATAAACATTCTAGAATAAAAATGATGTGGAAGCATCCATGTGAATCAGATAGGGCTTTATCATTACCTGCCGCCCCAAAATCCACCTTGTCCTCGAGGTGGAAGTTGTTGATGTCTTGGTCGATTCATCATGCAACCAAACCATTTGTCTTGCAAGCACTCCAGTCATCGTCATCACTGGAAGGGAATGCTTCAACTCCTTGAAGTGGGAGGACTTAATCAAGCAAGCAATTATTACAAGTATCGTATCCAAGGAAACTCCATAGCCAGTTGCCCCTACAAACAAATAGTCCCATTTTTTAATTTGACAAGCCGAAATAAAAATGTAGGTCACTTCATTGTCAAATAGGACCTCCATTGCCTTCTCCAAAATCAACCCCTTAATTTCCGTTGTTTTTTATTTAGAACATGTTTGGTATAGATTTTAATCCAATTAACATCAATTTTTTGACCGTTATTTCATTATTCCAGCCGTCATTTTTGAATTTTTCTCTCACACGTAGGATCAACTTTATCTTTCATGGTAAAAAAATCAATTAACAAAATCCCTAACAAACAAGCACTTAGTTAGTCCTTTCCCCGAATTGAGTGAGAACTCAATCAATTCACCCACATTATTTTCCTCTTCATCTTCTTCCAAAACCTCTAATTGATCGTCTTCTTCTTCCACCTCTACGAGTCCCACTTCCTCCCCATTATTGGTAACCAACAATACCTGTAGCTCAGTATTGCAGCATCTGTGATTTGATGTGCAATTCTCATCACTAAAAAAACACAGCCCCTTGTCTCTATTCATCTGTGGCTCATCAATTAATTTCTTGAACGGAATAGCCCCTTTAATTGTTGTCGCATGATGAAAAATTGAAGGTGGCCGTGGCTTTGGTGTTGATCGGGTTGGTTGGATGTGGTGTTTCGAGAGCCGGCTTATGTGTGTGGACAGGGAATAAGGGAATTGTGGGCTGTGGTTATCTATATTAATTTTAGATCTAGATGGGCCAAATTTAAAATGGGCCTGCTTCATCTCATTCCTGTTTTCAATCATTTTGGCCCCTTCCTTTCCCCAGTCCAAATCCATCAAACTCAGTAATTCCCCTTCTTTGCTCTTCTCATGCTTCAACGATTTTACAGAGGCTCCCTCCAAAACCTGCTCCGATCTCTCCTCCTCCTCCAATGGTGGTAATGGTAAGATTTCAAGGCTGCCTCTATTTACCCAGGTTTCATCAGATTGAGGTGGCAGTTCAGATGTGTGGGTGGTTTCATGTTCCTCCTCCGGTGTCGGCAGTTCTTTCTCTGGCTTTCCGTTCTCTGTCCTCCATTTCAGCCCATCACACTGCTTCCAGAGGCCTTACTCGTGCTAAATTGATCCAACATCAATTTTTTTAACTCTCCCCAAGTTTGCATGGGTCAATGACGATTTAGCCATTGGAACCACTCCCAAGCTTCACCATCCCAACATGCCGTTGTGGCTTCCACCTTTTCTTTTTCCGACAATCGATTTCTCTTGAAATTTCCTCTGCTTTCCCTATCCACCACCCTGGACTACCATCATAGAGTATCGATATCTTGAGACGGCCAAGCGAATCCAATCCAGAATCAAGTGCTTGGTCTTCTGTCCGTCACATCATTATTTGTTCGAATTGATTGAATATGGAGCTCCATTTCTCCTCCAGTTCATTGCTGAAATTTGTTTCCATACTCTCTAGAATCGAGTGCTCTAATACCAATTGATAAGAACCTGTTGCTACTGCTTGATAAGAACCTGTTGCTGTTGATAATCGACTGGATCTGAGAGGCTGCTAACCAGAATTTAGATAGTAGACTTGACAGGAAAATGGATGATTATGAAAGGTAAAAGGCAGATTATTGTAGACACAATATTTGAGCTTGAAAGTATTGAAACAGAATTTTGTATTGATAGAATAACAGAAATTAAATGACAAGTTTCAGACTATTCGAGAGGCCTAATCTCTCCACTCCTTTCTAAACAAATTCTCTGAATGCCAATCTAATTCCTCTCCCCATCTTATTTGTAGAGTTCCCATCTAACCGACTAATGAACATTCTAGAATAAAAATGACTTGGAAGCATCCATGTGAACCAGATAGGGCTCTATCATTTTCCTTAAGAAGGCAAGATATATTAATGTTCAATTATAAATATTTCTAAGACTTCAATGAAAAAGATATAAAGACTTTCTTTACTGCTGTTATCTGTGTGTGTTACTTATCAAATGATTTTTTTCTTCTAATGCACTAAACTTCAAATCTTGCAAATTTTATTATTTTATAAATGATACTTGATAATACATGCTTCTATGAGAAATTATTTTCCAACACCAAGGTTTAGAAAAGGAGTTAAGAGAAATCTATCGTCTTCTTTTTCCCAAAAAAAATGACTGGAATGCTTTTTCTTTGGTTCAACTGGAATTAATTACACACCCAATAATTGGAGTATGTTCTATTTACTTCCATATTCTTCTTGTCTTATCTCCGGATGCTATATAATTAACATTTTCTGCTCCACTTTTTTAATTTATAATGAGGGTAGAGTTCGACTCAAGGATAGAGGGATTAACCGGACCAGTTGCTGCTATTAGACAGATGGCACAAGAGTACCGAGTATTCTTTAAAAGGGTTGATGAAGAAGGAGATGATTATCTTGTTGAGTCTTCGCAAAACATGTAAATTACAAGCCTTTAATATCACTATCCTCCCAGCTTCCTCATCTTAACTCTTTCCTTTATCTTTTTCACCAAGACATCTTTGCTATTTTGAAAAAAATATTGTGATATCATTATGAACAGGTACTTGATGAACCCGAACATGGAAGTAGTGAGGTGCTTTGGAGTTGAATACAGAGCGGAAGAACTGACGGAAGAAATACTCAAAGAGATGAAGAAAACTGGAAATTAATCATTCGATAGAATGTGGCCTAAAACTCAGCAGGGTAGGTTTATCTTTTTCAAATGTCAATCCAACGATTTTTTCCCTTCACACTGTCAAAATGCTAATTAGTGTTGAGTTTGATCCAATTTTAATACATCACACATTTTGTTATTTTTGTGTTGCCCTTTTTCATTATTTGATACTGTACCTTTTGGTGACTAATACAAAATGGGACTTGGTACCTGCAGCAGCTAAGGCTCCACATGTTCACTGTTGAATTATTTCTGTTTCAGTTTCCAAGTCATATTTATTAAATGAAAAATGCTAGTCAGCCAGGTATAAAAACAGGGATTTAAATTTTGTTGAGGTGGCACTTATTGCACAGCACTCCGACCGGTGCATCTTCAGAGACCAGTACTCCGGTGGTTCTTCCATCTCCAATCATCCTAATACTTACAGTTTTGAGCATTCCTCTAGTGTCATAATGGTAGCCACTGGAGTATCCCTCGGTCGCATCAGCTCTTAGGACTTAGGTATAACATAAGCCATAGATACATTTTGGAGGTCCCGAGTTTATGAGCAAAAACCCGACTCCCAGAACCAATTTTTTTCTCCCAGAAAACCTCAAAAGTAGGAATTTCCACTACTAGATTTTGAATCCAATTCATAAGTACCATTAAACCCTCCTTTCATTATGCCATTTCCGACTAAACCTGTGGGCTTATGGTAAATGACTGGCTGATTCATACATCCACTTCCAAAACACGGAAATCTTCCGGGTTTAAATGTGGTACGTTATTCCTATTTTCAGGACAAAGACCACATTTAGCCTCTGTTTGGTTTCCATTATTTTCTTATTAAAATGAAAAATATGACCATTATTTATTACATCAAGCTACTAAATTTGAATTTCTATCTCTTGTATGAAGTCCGTAACGACTATATTTTTCATTCTCATTCTTCCAAAAATGAGAAACAAACGGGGGGCTTAGTGTCATAATGAAAACAGATATGACATGACCATCCAAAATTGCCATGGTTTTGGTGTGTGAAACTTGACACAATGAGCCCAAATGTATTTCCTTCTCTGCTGCATACAGGTTTGGATTGTTCAGTGCTTTTGGATTCCAACCTGGGAATGGCTTCCCAGTTCCAAGTTTGTCTTCCCCCGCAGTCACTTTGTGAATCAGAGAAAGGTTTGAAAATCTTAAGAAGGCTGCTATATGGTGAGTGCCACATGGCGCTACAAACGTTTACTTTCTATAATTCAAGTAAAATTTAACTAAAGTTCAAAATTTACATTTAATAAATGATAATCATGTTTTATAATTGAACGCCCTCTAGAGGGATTTTAATGATAGGTTCTATACGAATTGGACTAACTTATATAGTTAAATATCTAGTGATAAACTCTTATGTTCCTCTCAGTACGATATTTTTGAATAAGTTCTTGAATAACGAGCCTAATTGTTTTTTTTATTGATGATATTGACAATATTGATGCTAATCATTACTATTAAAAAGACTTGTACAACCTGTGAATTTATATTGCTATAGGTTGTTTTGAGCAAATTTATTATAACTAATTGTTGAAAAAAAAAACAAAAACAAAAAAACAAACAAACATCATTAGTTCACAATGGCATTTTTAAGTATATTAACATCATTTTAGATGAGATACAAGCTAAAAATTTGTCAAAGATAAATATAATACTCAATTGAAAATAGGAGGTTAGTATGTCTAAAATTCATGTGTTTACTTTTGTGTCTAAATTATCTATATTGTCGCTTGAATGCAACGATTGTTACTTAATACCAAATGAATAAAAAATTCAAAGGTTGGTAGCAAATAAGGTTGCTGAAATTGCTATAACGATTTGTATTGAGTAGTATCACAATCTTCTAGATCTCTATTAGGATTCCGAGTTGTTAGGATTATAAATCTACGATCCAAAATGATCATGATAATAATAGGCTTTGGCTATGATCTTTTTAAAATTCAATAGTTTGGGCAAGTGCTCAAGATTACTCGTTTCATGGATGGCATCATTTTTCATAACTAGTCGCTATCACGTGCGTTGCACGAATTTTGTATTTATTTTATTTTTATTAGTGTATGAATTTTAGTTTTTTTGGAAAGTTTTTGAAGCAATATCTAAAAATATTTTCATGATATAAAAAAATAATTGCAAATTATTTTTACAATTGTATAACAGTATGTTATCTAAAAAAAATATGCTTGTATATATCATGCTTGAATAAGAAATATACAAACTATTTTATTTGTATTTTTTGATAATGTTGATATGATTGAATTGAATGTGAAGATTATATTTCTAAATTTTGTGTAATTCAATATTGCAAAAAAAAAAAAAACAAAAACAAAAAAAAACTCTCCGCACAGTGCGGAGAGAGGTGAACTAAGTGCGAAGTAAAAATTAAAAAAAAATGTCTAGAGAGAAAAAAACATTTTCACACAGTGCGAAGAGAATTGAACATGTGCGGAGAGTTGACAAACTCTTCGCATAATGCGGAGTAAAAAAAAAAAAAACTCTCCGCACAGTGCGGAGAGAGGTGAACCAAGTGCGAAGTAAAAATTAAAAAAAAATGTCTAGAGAGAAAAAAACCTTTTCACACAGTGCGAAGAGAATTGAACATGTGCGGAGAGTTGACAAACTCTTCGCATAATGCGGAGTAAAAAAAAAAAAACTCTCAACACAGTACGGAGATATGACAAACCAACTCATGGAGTTTATATATACTAAAATTATTATTATTTTTTTAATGTTATTGGCATGATGCGTGTATGGAATAATATTTGTCAATCGCTATAAACAAAATTCTTCACAAAATACAAATAATAAAAATGCATAATAAATCTTCTTATTATGCTAATAAAATTACAATAAAAAAATTTTTACAAATAAAATAAAAAAAATCATTTTTATCTTTAACAAAAAACACATTTAAAAATTTGTAATTTCGTGACCACTTTTTTTTTTTAATTCTCGAAAATACAATTATAAAAAAGGAAATAATATTGAATTACAACATTTAATATTTAAGAAATTCAATATTAAATAAATTTTATACATTTATAACAAATTATAAATTCATATATGCAACTTACCGTATTAGCAAGCAACTTATCGTATATATAGCTTACCGTATATGCTACCTACCGTATTTGCATCCTACTGTATTTGCAAATAACTTATCGTATTTGCAGCTTACCGTATATGCTGTCTACCGTATTTACAACTTACCGTATATGCTGTCTACCATATTTGTAACTTACTGTACTTTTATATACCGATTTTTGCACTTACAAATATCGAGAATACAGAACACCGTACATTCACTTATCAAACCGAATTTTAAAAAAAAAAATCATATTTTTTTTTAATATAAGCATAAAATAAATATTAAATATATATGAAGCACAAAATATAAATGCATATGAATATGGTGCTCAATCTTCAATTTTTCAATATTGAATTACACAAAATTTAGAAATATAATTTTCACATTCAACTCAATCATATCAACACTATCAAATAATACAAACAAAATAATTTGTATAATCTTGTATATTTCTTCTTCAAGTATGAAATATACAAGTATATTTTTTCTAAATGATACAATATTGTTATGCAATTGTAAAAATAATTTGCAATTATTTTCCTATATCATGGAAATATTTCTAGATATTGCTTCAAAAATTTTTCAAAAAACTAAAATTCATACACTAATAAAAATACGATAAATGCAAAATTCGTGCAACGCACATAACAGTCACTGTGCGAAGATGTTTTTTTTTTTTTTTTACTTTGCACTGTACGAAGAGTTTGTCAATTCTCCGCACTATGCGAAGAGTTTTTTTTTCCTTTTTTACTCCGCACATAGTTTGTCATCTTTCCGCACTGTGTAGAGAGTTTTTTTTTTTTTAAAACTCATGTGTGAAGAGTTTTTTTTTATGACAGTTTATATTTACTAAAATTATTATTATTTTTTTAATGCTAGCGACATGATGTGTGGAAAAACATTTGTTTGACATAAACAAAATGAAAAATAAAAAAATGACATCATGTATAGTAAAATTGGATTTATTTACTATTGCATCAATAATAAACCATTCTTCCCCTTTTTATTAAAAGTTAGATAAGGGATATAATATACTCCAAACCCAAAACAATAGAAAGAAAAATAAAGTACGCTAAACAAAAATGTAAAATCTCTATGGGCCTATTTGATTTGAGAAATTTTCCATGGTTTTTATTTTCCACGGTTTTTATTTTCCACATTTTTCTTGTTTGATTGCAAAAATTTTCTTGACAATTGATTTTCCACCCCCACCCCCACGTGATCCCTTTTTCTTGGTTTTGTAAATTGCAATTCCCATGGGTTTAGTGGGAAATAGGTTTTCCAGCAATATTTTAAAATTTTTTATTTTTTATTTTTTTGGCAATGAAAATAAATTTTATCCACAATTGTAGCAAATTTTATTTCTTTAATTGACAATTTTCATGAAAAACAAAATCAAACGAACACCAAAAGATTCAAAATTTCAACATTTTCTAGGTGAAAAATTATACCAATCAAACACATTTAATTGACAAATTTCAGTAAAACAAGTTCTAAACTATTCAATTCCTCGGAATTCGTTTTCTTTAAACCAAAATTCTATTATTCCAATCAAACGGACCCTAACTCAAATCCCAAAATCAGTAATTTAGCATTCGACCCTCGTAGTCTTGCCTCTCACTTCTGTTTATCTCTCAGAAATAATAATAATTTGGACCCTTACAAGCGGTTGAAAATTTGTTTTCATTGGTTGTTTTTGGTTAATTATAAATTTATAGTTGATAATTTGTTTTTAGACCTTAAATATAATTTTTGATATTTAAATAATCATCATTATTTAATAGTATCTTACAATCCTCAATCTGAACCGCAAGTCTCTTTCATCGATCCAATTCAAAACTACAATCTAACAACCATGGGTAGTATTCATTGATAATGTGAAAAATTAGAGTCGAGCATAATTATCATCTCTATGTCATATATTGAGTAAGCATTTTTAGCATTGAAAGAAAGGTCATCCATAACAAAATACATTATGAATTTCTTTTTATTGTATAATATTCAAATCGAGTGAAATTTTATTGAGAAAATAGATTAGATTCAACTCATAAACAAATTCTTCGTTCTTGACCCGCTTTCAACATATTACTCTGGAGAATTGAGTTGAGAGTGATAAATTGAACAAGTATGATCGTTCCCTGGTGGTATGTATTATTAAATCAAAATTGGAATTATCTGCTTTATAAATCTTGTTGGGCAAAATTTTAATTGGTGGTACAAGACAATATTAGCTTTTTCTAGATTTTAGTTCGCCCTAAACTTTGAGTGATTCAAGCTCCAACCCCGTACCGAATAGTTTGACTTTTGTGTAAGTCAAACTTATACAAAAAAGATACATACAGCTGGCTGGCGGGTGTTAGTCATACGTGGGATGCTCAAAGTATTTACCTAACCTACGTGAGCTCCTCAATGGAGAAATTTGCATATCAACAGAGAAAAGAGAAGTAAGAGAAAAAAAAATACAGAATCTCCATTCCACCAAATAAGGAGTGCTCGTCTTTGTTTTTCTAATTATTTAGAGATCCTTATTTCTTCCATGACCGACTCTTTTGGAGTCCCAATCAAAATAATAATCTGCCATCTCTCCCTTTTAAATTAAATTAATGGACTAGTTTTGGAGATTCAGATACCAAGAATTTAAAATAAAAATGAAAATGGTTTAAATTATTGTTTTTTTTTTTTCCTCTTTCTCTCTCTCATGCCAAAATCTCTCATTTCCATTGCTTAAAAGAGAGAAAGCAAGAAAAGAGAGATAGTGTGGTTGTTGGCAACTGCCTTCTCCAGGAGGCAGTGAAAAATAATCAATTCAATTCAGACAGAGTCTCCTGGGGTGCTGAATTCTTCCTTCCTGTACAAGCAATCTCTCTCTGTATATTCTTCTGTTTTCTGTATTTCATTTTTCTTTTTATCAAAATATGGGTGGGTCCTCTCCTTTTCTGTAAAATACAATTTTCTGTTCTTTAATCCCTTGGCCTACAAGTTTTCAACTTTACTGTTTTTCCCCTTAGAAAAATCCATTTTTATTCCATTCATTACTTGCATTTCAATAGCCAATTTCTTCTCTGGGAAACTGTATTTGATATGGGAGAAATCTCGCCTGAGAAAAGATCAGGCTGTGGCCTGTTGAATGCAGTTTTTGGACGTCGAAGTATTTGGCCTAGAAGATCAACATCCACAGGTTCTCTTCATACCTTCACTCCAAACAATAATGTAAACTTAGTACAAAGCATGCCGGCTTCAAGAAGACAAAGTGGTGGCTTTGAAGGATCGACTATCCTGGATTCATCAGATGCCCCTTTGCATAAACAGGTTGATAGAGTCATTGCACGGCCGGGCCAAAACCACGCGAGATCCCCTCCCGTGTATCAGCAACACCACCCGCCTCCAATGGCAGCTGCAAAAAGCTCGCCTAGCCAACAAGGCCATGGCCAAGCGCGTAAAGTGCCTCGAAATGGACTTGGCATATCTGGAGAGCTCGAGAGCATGATCACCGATCATCAGCAATCGAAAGGCGCAGGTAAGTTAGTTCGTGCATCGTCCAGTAATGTGATGTTGTTTGGAAATTTGGGTAATTTGAGGCAACAAGGTAGCAATGGGAATTCGACAGCAAACAATGTTCTTGATTATCTTCCAAAAACTGGTAAAGAAGAGCAATCACCTGCTAGTGGGAAATACAGTACTAGTGTTATAGGGAATGTAGTGAAAAAAATTGAAAAGCCTTCTCTTTGTCGTGCTATTTCCACCAGGATGGATCCTGAGCAATTGAAAATTTTGGGTAATGAAGACTACAAGAATGGCAGATTTGCCGAAGCTTTGGCTTTGTATGATGCAGCCATTTCTATTGATCCCAATAAGGCTTCTTATAGGAGCAACAAAAGCGCCGCACTAACTGCTTTAGGCAGACTTCTTGAAGCAGCCTTTGAATGCAGGGAAGCAATTAGAATCGATCCATATTATCAACGAGCTCATAATAGATTAGCAACTCTATATGTCAGGTAAATTTTTATAAAAACTTTCTTGGAGAAGTGATTAATTCATAACTTGCAAATTTGACATTGTCGCTTTATATAATTCTTTGGCAGATTAGGAGAAGCAGAGAAGGCTGCTTATCATTTCAAACAGGCTGGAGCAGAAGCTGATCCTGATTCAATGAACAAGTCCAGAAAAGTTCAAGTTCATCTGAACAAATGCACTGAGGTAAAGAGGCAGCGAGATTGGAATACCCTTATAAAAGAAGCTACCCTTGCTATAGCAGCCGGTGCTGATTCTGCACCACTGGTTAGTCTTTTATTACCAGAACTGAATGCGATTTACATATCCTGCTCTACTTTTACAGGTTCTAAATTAAAACTGAATCGTAATTGGTATTAGTTTTTGTTGTTAAAATCAATGAAGATATTTTCCTTAAAAGCCGAGGCCTTGATGAAACTCCATAAGCTCCAAGAAGCAGATGAAACTATGGCAAAAGGTCCAAACTTTGACATCGATGAATGTATTAAATTCTTCGGCCCAATTGGTAGTACAAGCCTGTTACTTGTTCATGCTCAAGTTAACATGGTTGTTGGCAGGTTAGTGTCTTATCTTTTGTGTACAAAGAGATTCCATTTCAATGAAGAGCAGTTAGCGAGTGACTGTAGTCTAAAATACCAATGATGTGTAATTGACAGGTTCGATGATGCTGTGGCCGCTGCTGAACGAGCATCTAGGTTGGATTCGAACAACAAGGAAGTAAACACGGTGTTGAGGAGGACAAAGGCTGTGGCATTAGCTAGATCAAATGGCAATGATTTGTTCAAGGCAGCAAGATATTCCGAGGCATGTGTTGCTTATGGTGAAGGGCTCAATCACGATCCATACAACGCAGTCTTGTTATGTAACCGAGCTGCCTGCAGGTCCAAACTTGGCCAATTTGAAAAAGCAATAGAGGATTGCAGCGCTGCACTAGGCGTGCGCCCTTCTTATAGCAAGGCTAGATTAAGAAGAGGCGATTGTTACGCTAAGGTAGTCGTGAAACAGTATATGCCATCTGGTACAATTCAATAAGTCGTGTCAGCACGTATACACAAGTCTGATACGGGCACAGATGAGACTATAGTTTTTGAATGTTATGATGTTTTTATTGTAGCTGGGAAAATGGGAAGCATGCATACAAGACTGTGAGATGCTGTTAACAGAAAATACGAACGATGAGGAGGTAGAGAAACTCTTGAAGGAGGCTCGAGCATGGAGACGGCATGGAAGCCGAGACATGAAGAATGGTTGTGTTCATTCTAATGAAGTCGTGCTGGTATCAAGCAACGAATGTTTCCGAGACTATGTTACATCTCCCGGTAATAATCGCCACAAATGAAAAATAAGGGAAAAAAAAGAACATTATTTAGTGATGTAATTGTGTACTTTTTTACAAAATTATTGGCTGATTAAAATATGATTTTTTTGGATTTGATTTATCTAGGTATATCCGTGGTTTTGTTCTTTCGCAAGCTAAGTGACAGCACAATTATGCAGTTCATTGAAAACCTCCACAAGAGATATCCATCAGTCAACTTCCTTAAGGTACATCATTGATATGATATCTATATTAAAAGACAAACTTATCAAGAATCAGCCTCTTAAATCACGGGTTTTGTGTTTACTCAAAATCTATACAGTGAATAACATTTAATTTTTCCATTTATTTTGACATTGTCTTATAACACACGACAAACTCTAGGTAGAGGTTAAAGACAATCCTTCCATTGCCAAATCTGAAGGCATAAACTCGTTGCCAGCTTTCATTATATACAAGAATGGTTCGAGGGCGAGAGAAATCCCGGGGGACAGCCATGATTTGTTAGAGAGCTCTATCAAATTTTATGTCAGTTCTTGATATGAAAAACAAGGTTAGTTACTGAAGTGAAGTCGTAACAAAAGAGCCATGAAATGTGGAAGTTCCGCCCACAACCTCAGCCACAGCGCCGGCCGGATCCTTGAGGAAGTGATTGCACAAACTTCGGTAGATGGCAAAGGAAATGTAGGCTTTGCTAGGGAGCATAAAGGAAAATTCATTGGATTTCGTTTGATATGCTTGGAACAATTCATTGATTGGAATTCAGCTGGAAAAGATTGAATGGGTGAAACAGTAATCAACAATGATTGGGATTGTAAAATTTTTGTAATTATTTTTAGTTTGATATGCTTGGAACAATTCATTTAATTTAGCCAATTGTTACTTGTGTCCAGGTTTGAGTTCAAACTACCGTGAATCCAGTCAAATCACGAGGAAGCAAACTTTCTATCAAACAAAAAACAGCTTCCTCTTGAGAAAGTAGCAAATAGCTAAAAGTAAAAAAAAAAAAAAAAGAAGTATGATGAATGAATTATTATTTTATTAGACAAGTTAGGAATCTAGAATGATTTCATTTACTGATCACCTAGCAAGCAAGACACTTTATATAGTGCATGTTTGGTAGCGATTTTTCTCCTCAAAAAATCAATTTTTTTATCGTTGATTCATTATTTCAACCGTTATTTTTTATTTATTCTTTTACAATTATGATCCACTTTTCTCTCTAATGATCAAAAAATCAATTCCCAAAATCACTACTGAACAAGTCCAAAGCATAAAATATGGAAGATATTGAGATTTATTCATCCCATTGTTTGCTTGTGAGGCTAGATTCCTTCTGATCTTCTTTGACTACTTATATACATAATAATTAACCATTCTCTATTGGAATTTTAGCTCTTTTAAGGAAGATCTTACTTGCATGTTATCCTATATCCTTCCTCATCTTCTATAATTACCAATGGCATTTGTCCGTGTTAATCAAAGTTCGCAATTCTTTTCTCTTTTTTTCCCTAAGTGTTGAGAAACAAAAACTTTAATTTTATTCCACTGAAAGAAATCAATAAACAGAAAGAAATAAAGACACATTAAATTTATAGAGCTTCGCTTCAACGTGAGACTACATCCTTTTTCGTTGCTGCAATAATTCATTATGATGGAAATAAATTTACAATAGAAAATTGCAGACTTATCTTCTCTAACCTCTCCTTCTCTCTTTTACGGTGGTGATTAAAAAAACTTAATGACAAATCCCTACTTATAAAATAAATTAGGGAAAATCGAAATTTACAAGAACTCAAATTCTTTCGACGAAATTTATAAGGACCCAAATTCCTTAACCGCTTTTTAATAAAACAAATTAGAACAACAATAATTAGGCTCCACAACTTATTCAGTGTAGCATCTTCCAATTTACTATGTGTCTGCATCCTTTTTTCTTTTGGCCTCGTTTTTTGAATCTAAATGATGTAAATATTTTATTTACCTCAAGTTTTTTACATGAAAATTTTCTCCGTTTCTCTCTATATATTTCTTTTGCTAATCTATCATTCTTCTCATGCTCATTATGAACATTCAAATTTTTTCTCCCCCAAGTTGTTTAACTAATTATCACACTAGTTATTTCATGCTAAACAATCATTGGCGGATTAAGAGGGGCTACTAATTTAACTGGTAAAGTGCATTACAGCTCGAGTATGGTGGTCCAAAAAGATTCTTGTATTAAATGAACAGAATGATTTGTTTGAATTTTTTGTAATTATTCGCCGTACAATTTTCTTCATGAAATTAAAACTTTGCTGCTTATTTGTTGTTGGAACTTTTATTCACCAAAACCCATGATTAAAGGAAAACAAAAAAATAGAATTCTCTTTCGGGTTAAAATTTGATTGATAGTAATTTATTTCTCTACTTTTGCATCGTTGAAGCATATAAAATAAATATTCTGATTCTGTTAACTATGCTTTTAAATAATATAATGGTACTCGTGATTGTTTATATAATAGAAAAAATTACACCTTGTTTGGTACGTAAATGGTACACTATTAAATAATATTAAAATAAGAAATTACGAAGTCTAGCTAGGATTAATGAAGGTTCGTCCCTATGCGAGTTACATAAATCTTTGATATTGTACTTCATAATTCAATTACATTATTTGTTACTATATTCTCAAACAAAAAGTCCTAAATAGTTATAAGTATAATCATTGTAGGAGACATTTGAATTATTTGGCTGTAACACATACAAATTCTAGCCCATTGATATTTCTTGCAGGAGAATTCTCGATTCTCGAATCAAACATACCATCACCTTGCATAAATAAATGTAGTCAAAGCAAGAGAAAGAGGGGAGTCGAGAGAAGATGAGAGATTAGGGTTTTAAAGAGAGATGTATTTTATTGATAGTATTAGAGTGACACTGTACAAAATATTTTGTAGATGGGCACAAAATACAAAAATCGTATTTACTCAAACCACGCCTACTACTATTTTTTTTTCAACATATTCTTGAATTGACTTTAGTAGGCCTGTAATGTAGGAGAAATTATTACTGTCAAAATAGTCAGATCTATCATTTTGGATCATCAAGAACATATGAACTAAAGCAGAAACGTACCTAAATCGGACGTTGTTAATTGCAACAATTGAATCCTATGGTTATGTCTTCCAAATCAACATGTAGCTCCTTATTCTCCCTGGTGTGGACTCCAAATTTTTATCTTTTTATCATTTTTTTTTAAAGTATTGGGTTTCACTTTTATTTATAGTCCAATCGATATACTAATTTACCCTAACTCCAAGTGTAAGGTGACATTTTCTAACTTTTTCCCCTCGACAAGAAATTAAAAAATCTCCTTTAATCTACCATCGTTTTGAAATATTTTTAAAGTTCACTTCTTTCTTAAAATCCACGTTTCCTTGGGTCCTCAAATTTGCAGCAAAAAGTTTCTTGATCATGTGACATTTCTATTTAATATTAGTGATTATGATTATGTGAATATTGAATATTGGTAATATTTGTGATGGATTATTAAAATCTTGATTTTTGTCAATTAGTCAAACAATTAGTGATGATTTTCTGGTATTCTACCAATTTGTAAAAAATTGTAATTATTTTCTTATCAATTAGTATTTAATTGTCACTTGTGGTTTATTTTAAGTTGAAATGTCAATGGAGAGATTCTTTAAAAAAAAATATTTCGTAAAAAATGTTGATGAGGAGATATCGAATAAAATTGATTTTTGATGTTGCACAACTTGCTACAGATCCTAGAATAAGGAAGAAGATGATAATCTTATTAGTGTTGTCACCATGTCATTTTTAGCATTATTGTAATATCATTAAATCCATAACCGAAAAGTCCAACATTGACAAAATTTTGCCTTGGCTCCGCCCCTGACCATAACCACGTTAATATATCAACTATTTGTTAACCTAATTCGGCCCCATCATAGAATTAGGAAAAGGGATAACCACATATCTACTCTATTATAAAAACATGTTTCACAATTAACAAAGTCCCTTAAAACTTTCATAATCCAGGTGATAATTGAAAATATTAAATATATAAAAATATAATGTTATATACACTAAATTTGGATAAAAAAAAATTATAATCTCTACAAATTACTAATATATCATAATTAAAGATATTTTTTTATTTTCCAACCATAATCAAACAAGATTTTCTTTCTCTACAAAACGGGTTCCACAAAAACTCTCTCTAAACAACAGATTCACCAAAAACTCTCAAAACCTCACGAAAATTTCACTGGCATTCTCTGCAATCGATCAATAACATCGATATACTGCTAATTTTCATTTAATTGGAGAAAGTCGAAGTTCGAGTATGAAAGAATTTAATTTGCCCAAAGTAGAAATTGAAGTTTTTTTATCTGGCTTCGAAGGTAAGCATATAATTACTTAGTATAGCTTACGATTTTGAAGAAACAAGTGTTTTCGAAGCTATTGAAACATTTATCCAAACATAATCAGAGATTTCACGCCGTTAAGAATAAACTATATTTTGCCCAGTGTGAGACGTGTGTTTTTTCATTAACCATTGGTAGTATGCAATTTTTGTTTTCAATTTACAGTCATGAACGTGTTGATCTATGACTGTTTATGTGATTCAATCACATCGGTGCATATTTCCATTAATTGTGACTAGTTGTGACCACTGAATTAAATAGATTGTTACATATATGTTAAATGTTTTGACAGTCCATAAGTAGAATTAGTTTATTCTGTGATCAATGTCATTGCATTGAAAATTGATTCTCTGCGACACTAAATTTGTTGACCGTATGTGAATTTCTTTACATTAAATAACTTATGTGACCTGTATTGACATATCTGTGACTTCTTCATCTGTGGCATGTATTCATCAATGTCATTGATCTGATCGTTTCCAGATTTTAGTGAATGAAATGTGACATGCTGTTATTTGTTTGTGATTAGGGATGACAATTTTGAACGTTTGCCTATTATATGGAGGTCACACATCACTTATACTAGTGAATGATACGTGCAAGTATGATGAGTTGGTTAACCTTGTTATTTCAGAATTGGGGCTTAATCATATAGAAGTAGGTGTGAGATTAATATATTCTTTGGATTCTAGTTTACCTCCAATTTGGATACTAAGTAATAATAATGTCTTAACGTATTTGAGGCTAAGATTTGTGGATGGCATTGTATCGACCTATCCTATTGCAGTTGATGTTATGACTACAGACTCATGGTAGTCAACAGGTGCATTGCAATACCCAGAGTCATCAATTACTACCATTGAGTCATCAACTAATGTGTTTTCTTTACAACAAATAGCTCATGATATATGTGACTCGGTTACTACAATTGAGAACGGAAACATTGAAGAAGATGTGACATTGATAACTCAAGCAAATGATAAAGAAGTAGTGGAGGGAAATGTTTTCCGCAATAAGGAAGTACTGAAAATGAGCTTGGCCCTCTATGCCATACAAAACAAATTTGAATATAAGGTGTTGAGATCGGACAAAAAAGATTACGTAATAAAGTGTTCCCAAGATGATTGCAAGTGGATATTTAGATCTTCACACTTGGGAGAAACGAAAATATTTAAGATCAGAGAAATCTATAATGGTCACACATGCTCAATAAACATTGTTTTAGGATCTCATCGACAAGCATCTAGTTCAATGGTGTCAAACTACATCAGGTACAAATACACTTCTTCACGTACAATATACGCTCCTAATGATATCTCAAATGACATGTTGCACAAATATGGAGTATCGGTGAATTATATGAAGGCATGGAGGTCACGTGAGCAAACATTAAAATTGATTAGAGGTGATCCAACAATATCGTTTCAGTTGCTACCCTCTTATTTTTTTTATGTTAC